ACTCAGGGTTCACAAACACCGCAAATTTATCATTTTGACCCGTTGCCACCACAAGATGCAATCAATTACTGTGATCCAGACGAAGAACGGTGAGTGTTTGCATTGTCTGTTTATGGCGATGATAACAGTGATCCTAATTTATGATTTGTTCCTTTGCACAACAGTTGACCTATACAGTGATCGCTCTAGATCTGCGAAGGCTCTCTCTAAATATTCGCCTGTTCTATTTCATATTGATTTTACTCAATGAAATCTCATCAGGTCATTCTCCCGACATGAGAACCTGTTCAAAATACCTCTGTCGGAACTGCAGTTATGTAGAGACACGCCATTCGTGTTATTTGCTCATCATAATCCGAGGACAGCTCATACCGGATTGTCCATATTAGGTACATGTATTTGTTCGATAACCATGATTGCGACCGTGGATATGCTAAATTTTCATCAAAGAACAGCCCTAGGGTAGTTGAAGGTTGCAATTTGTTGTCCATATGGTTACTTGCATCAGTTGGTCACAGACAGAATAAAACAAGTCAGAAACGGTTGCAGAATGTTCCCATATTTCTCTGTGTATATTTTATTGAATTGTTTTTAATGCACGGTAAAATCCTTATGTATGCACACGTGGTTGTACTCGTGTTAGCGATGTAGATTCACTCTCTTCTCTGTTCCCCAAACATACCAAATCCTAATCCACCTTGCGTATTCGTACTTGCTTTATGTGTACGGTGGGCTTGGTTGCGATAGGTGAAGCTCGATCCATTCCACTGTACGATAGTAATAATGACGGTGTGATAGGGGTTGTGGTTGGTCAAATTTTCACCTTTCACCGACTAATACGAAATAGTCAAGTAAAGTTTGCTTCATCGAATTATGTGCTGTATTTAATACCCTATGTTGATGGGCTTTTTGGACAATACTGAAAGGTGATGGAATACCACATAAGTTTGAGGTTGTTCGGGAGGCATCCCACTCAGTCACTCATGCACTTATTCATATATACCTTAAAGGATCACCCGAACTCCTACTCAATACAGGATTACGACAAGGCTTTTAATTGCTGACATAT